ACTGTGACCCCCCCAGCTGATCCCACACGGCGTCACTGCGGTCACAGCCGCAGAACAGCGACGTGCCCAAGCACCCAACAAGGAAAGCTCCACCCCCTCCAATTGGGGAACTGGCTACCCAAAAAGGGAAGGAGCCAGCAAAGATCACCCTGCAGGGGCTGAGTCACGTCCCCATGCGGTGGGCTCTGCTCCTGGAGTCATCTTGGGGTGGGCTCAGTGGGGTCTCTGCCCCTAGGATCACCCTGGGTTGGGCTCAGTAGGGTTTTTGCCCCTGGGGTCACATCAGGGTGGGCTCAGTGGGGTCTCTGAACCCTGGGATCACCTTGGAGTGGGCTCAGTGGGGTCTCTGAACCCTGGGATCACCTTGGAGTGGGCTCAGTAGGGTCTCTAAACCCTGGGATCACCTTGGGGTGGGTTTAGCAGGGTCTCTGCTCCTGAGGTCACCTTGAGGTGGGCTCAGCAGGGTTCTTGCCCCTGGGGTCACACCAGGGTGTGCTCATCCCCAGCACCCCCCACCTCGTACCCAAACTGTCATTGCAAGCAGCGTCACCCACATCCTCCAACAGCCACCACCGCAAGGCAGGAGTGCAGCAGCACAGCGGAAGCTGCTTCTCCCCCGCAGGCAGTTGTGGATTAACTCTTTGTGCTGCCTTTTTCTGACACCTCCGGAAGGGCAGCTCTCTGTTACCTCGAAGGGAAAGCCGTGCCCTTGGGCTCCTGCACATCAGGAGTCAAGGACTCTGAGTGGCCTCCATGGTTTCTCCAAAGAGAAGCAGAGTGGAAAAGAGAGGGGGAAATCAGTGCTGAGCCCCAACCTGACCCGTTGCTGCAGAGAAATGGGTTAAAGTCCTTCTATGAAGGGGTGGATGGAGGGAACCTGCTCTGCTGTGAGACAGCCTGTCCCCAAAACATCCGTTGAGGCTGCTCTGAAAACATCCCCAGCCATGTGGAACACCCAGCAGTCAACACCGGCTTCACATAAACTTCAAAGCAGAGTTTCCCCCGCCGCAGCCCCACCTCTGCACATCCTGTGCCCTTCACATCTTGCCTCTCTCACCCGGAACAACCCATCCCTGTCCTCTTCCCAGCCACCCCTTGTCCGCTGGGCAACCTGCAGCTGGGCCCACCCCAGCCAGGGATTTTCCAGGAAAAAAAGGGAATACCTGCACCTCAACCCAGCAAGAAACACCCACGCGTGGGTCAAACACTGCTTTTGGCTTGAACTTCACAAGAGCCAAGCGTTAATGAGGCTGGGTTGACATGCTCCAGGTGATGGATAAATAAATATCACCTCTGGGGGGAGGTTTGCAGCACTGCAGGTCACAAACTCATGGAATTCTGAAATAGATGTTAAAAGTGCTCCAAGCCCTCTCCAAGCTGGCCTCGAGCACTTTCAGGGATATTTTCTCCCTGTAGAAATGCCCCAGGTGACACCAGCTCGCTACAGGTGCAGGTTTGATGGAGATGGGAGCTGCTCCCAGGACCGGCATCATCTCTTCTCTCTTCTCTTCTCTCCCCACAGCTGCCGGAGCCCCTGATGCCGTTCCGGCTGTACAATGAGCTGATGGGGCTGGCCAAGGAGAGCCTGCAGGGCAGCGAGGCCAAGGGCCGCGGTGGGAAGGGCGGCCCCGAGCTGGTGGACAGAGGAGCTGACACCGACCAGGTGGTGCTGAGCCTGGTGCTGAAGCTGAGGGAGCTGCTGAAGGAGCTCCCCTGCGAGAACATGGCCACGCTCCAGTACCTCCTGCAGCACCTGAGGAGGTGAGAGAGGCATGGCCAGAGCCTGTGTGGCTGCTGGGCGCCTTCCCTTTCTCCCCTGGGGTGGGCAGGTGAGTGCAGCTTCCTCACTGGAATCAGGAGGAGGGTCAATGATTGCAGCTGCTTCTCTCCCCATCCTGAGCCCAGCATCTCCCCCAGCCCTGCCCATCCGCCCCTCTCCCTCCTTGCTCTCACAAACTGTTCCTCCCCCTCCCACCCAGGATCATGGAAGTGGAACAGGACAACAAGATGACTTCAGGCAACCTGGGCATTGTCTTTGGGCCAACGCTGATGCGCCCCAGGCCCACGGATGCCACAATTTCCTTGTCCTCTCTGGTGGATTATCCCCACCAAGCTCGGATCATTGAGGCTCTCATCATCTTCTACCCCACCATCTTCGAGCACAAGGACTTGGCACCAGCCAGCAGACGTGGCTCAGGCGCCACAGAGGAGGTGGCCAGTGGTGCTGAGCGGGTAGGAATCCCCAGGGAGGGGGGGAATTCAGGGGATATTCCATGAACCTTCTCTGGTGTCAGTTCCTGAGAACTCTCCATGCCCTCACCACCATCCCTGTTCCCTCCCAGGCCCATGGAGGCTCCCAGCCTGTGACTCCTCTTGGCACCAGCCCCTACCTGGAGCTGCCTTCAGAGAAGAGCAATTTGGCTTTCAGCGCTGACTCGCTCGCAGGTCAGTGAGAGGCACTGGGGGTGTTCCTGGTGGGTGCAGGTCCCTTGGGAGGCACAGAGGGCACACAGACCCATCCCCTGCCCCGGTTTTGCTGCATGAAGCTCCTGCTGATGCCACGGTGCTGGGCTGGAGGGTGGCACAGAACTCCTCTGTCCCACAGAGTCTGGCGACCGCTCCGTGGACTCTGACTCGGAGCTGGAGGATGGTGGGGAGCCACGGACACACCTGACCAAGCAGTGGAGCGAGACCAGCACGGAGGAAGTTCATTTCTATGACGAGGGGAGCGAGGGGCTGCGGAGCCGGAGCTGCAGCGTGGGCCAGTCAGATGCAGAGGGCTCCGCTCCCCGCTGCTGCAGCCCTGGGGATGAGCAAAGTGATGTGGAGGAACACCCGGAGAGCCGCAGCCCTGCCACCCCCGGGAATGCCACAAACCAGCCCAGCACCCCTCGGGGTCACAGCAGCCACGAGCTGCAGCCCCGGCTCACCTAAGAATGGCACTGGGATGGACAAAGGGGCAAATGCCAGAGGCTGCCCAGACATGGAAACTTGAACGTGGAGGGGTGGGAGGGACATGTAGCAGCCCGGGGGGGGTTTGGTGTGTCAGCTGCAGGCAAGTCCTGGCTGATTCCTGGCTGGAGCTTTCACACAAAACCCCTGAGCCCCTCGGTGCCCAGCTGGGGAATGGGATCACAGCGTGCTGGGACCCCTGGCTCAGCCAGGGCCATGAAGGACCTTGCCTGGGAGGGAGCTGAGTCTGGGCAGACCCTCCACTTGTTCAGGATTGGGAAGGAACCCAGGGCTGTGCCTGTTCCAGGTGATTTTTTTTGCTGTGCTCCTGAATCCCACACCTGTGCTGTGAGATCGAGGTTGGATGAGTCAAAGGACCCGGTCATCCCTGATGGCTGAGGATGGAAGGGAGCCAAGGCTGCCGGGGTGACATGGAGACAACAATCACTCAAGATGGACAGGAGAATGGCACGACAGCGACAGGTGTAATTGGAGGCAGCTCACTGGGACAGGGACACGGCCAGAGCAGCGTTGGGATCAGGGTGAATCCCCTGCACCATCTCGCCCCAAGCCAGGCTTGGCTTTGGGGCTGTGCCATCTGCCAGGATCTCAGAATGTCCCTCATTGACTGAACTAGAGTTCAGGGTAGATTTCCTGTCCCAAAACCTCAGCACTGTGTGGTCCTGGCCCAGCTGATGGCATCTGCATTGCTGCTTGGATTGTCAGGTATTTGGATTGGTGGGCATTTCCCCCCTCAGCAGGAGCCATGTGGAGAGCCTCAGGGCAGATTTGCCTGGCTGCAGGGTCCTGAGCCCTGCTGAGCTCTCAGGCTTTGGTTGTACAGTCATTTCATCTCCAAAAAGCTGCGCTGCAAGTCCAGGATTAACTCCCTCTGCTCTGGGGGCAGGTCCCCATGGGGAATTGCCTCTTCCTCCTCCTCAGGGGCACCAGGGCCTGGATCCAGCCCCAGGCCCAGCCCCAGCCAGTATAATCTTGAGCTTCCTTTTCTGTAAAGACAGAAATCAACTCTTCAACATGATGCCACTACCTCTGCTGGCAAAGGGACTAAAACCAAAGTGATTTTGGGTTATTTTTTTTTAAGCTATGAGACCTTCCTGCACTGAGGCACAGAGAAACAAGTAGTGTTTTAGCTTGGAATGAGCTGAGAGCCTTTTCCTTTGTTCTCCTGCTTGTGGGAGACAGACCAGGTGATGCTGGGGGGTCTCAGACACCTTGGTACTGCAGACCCAGGCAATGGACGGGAGGTTTGAGCTCTTTGAAGTCGATGGAGAACCCATCTCAGCAAAGGTACATAAACCCAGGTTAACTCACAGGTTTGGAACTGAGCCAGGGAAGAGCCCCAGAATTTGTTGTGCCCTCCGGCTCTTCCACAGGATAGTTGGATTTTTCCAGGGCAGCAGGAAGGCGTGGGAATGCTGCTGCCACGGCGGTACCGTGTGTGTGAGAGGGTGGGTGAGGATGATGAGGGTGTGAGTGAGAGAAGGGGCTAAAGCTGCGCTTGAGCTTCCCACGGCAGCAGCTCCCTCCTGATTGTGTCAATTCTGTGTTTGTCCTGACAAGCCTGTGCTGCTGCACGATGCTGCCTTGCTGTGTTCTCGTTGACAAACTTCCCAAAAAAACCAATAAAACAAAGAGGTGCATTCTAACCTGTGTTTGTTCTGGGGAATCAGGATCTTCCAGGCTCCCCCAGCTGCAGGAGGCCAAATCCAAGTGTTTCTGGCACAAAAAGTGAAGTTTAAAGCCCCTCAGAGTCTTGGGATGGATTTAAATGAGTGCAGCTGGGGGTGGTGAGCAACTCTCCATTGCAGTGTCCAAACACCAGGGTCCCAAACCAAGGGAGAGGGCAGGAATGAGGTAAGTCTTAACTGCAGCTTCTAAACTGCCCAGGGCAGCAGTTAAATGCTCTGCAGGGCTCAGCCACAATGCAGCGTCCCAGCAAAAAGAGATTCCAAACATAATGAAAAATATGGGAACTTGCAGAGTCTCGAGGCTTTGCCACAGGGAGAGGCTGAGCAACAGCACAGCTCTGAGGGTACAAACCTTTATTTCAAACAAGAGCCCATAAAACAGGGAAGCAAAAACCTTTCCCACTCGTTTTTTCCCGTTGCTTCAGGTCTCCACAGCTGAGTCCTGGATGGGACTGAGGGGTCAGCACAAAGTCCAAGCTGGAAGACAGGGAATGAGGCCCAGTGACAGGGCTGCAGAGAGGCAATGTGGGAAGAGGATTTCCTTGACCATCTCTGAAGTGCAGGAATTTCCGAGTGCCTGTGAACTGCTGGTGGGAGCCGCCCAGCTCCTCACACCTGGAAGAGAAGGAAGGATGGGAATCACATCCTGCCCCTGACCTGATGCTGCTCCAGTCCATCTGAACCCCAAATCTTAATGGGCACAGCCTGAGCAGAGGCACAGGTGAAAGGGGAGCCTCACCCTACTCTCCCCAACAGCTCCTTCCATGAGCTATTTAAAACTCTGAGACATTTCCCTGGAAGCAGCTGCTTCACACTGACCTTGGTACATCCCCTGGCACTGCCCAGAGCCCTCCCAAGCAGGGAGTCCCCTCATCCTTACCCACTGTGTCACTGCACCAGTCTGTAGGTGATGTACCTGCCCGCCGTCTCGCTGGGCCTGATGATCTTCACTACCTGCAAGGCAGACACAGAGCTCAAGAGGAGGAGGAGACACTTTTCCTGCTCCAAGAGCTCCAACATGGCCTCCAGGATCATCCCCTCCCTGCCCTGCCACGGGGAGCTGCTGCCTCAGCCTGCTCCTCTCACCTGGCCACGCTTTATCCCAAAGTACCGGGCCACAGGGTCCCCAGCCTGGATCCTGGGGAGCTGGTTCTCCCTCAGTTTGCTGTGCTGGGAGTTAAGGAGAAGCTCCAGACATGCCATGGGCTGTTGGCAGAAATGAAGCATGGCAGGAGGAGGGGCTTTCAGCCCAAATTTCATCGCACCTTGGCAGGAGGGAGGGACACACAAAGGGAACCAAAGGGACGCTCAAAGGATACTATCGGGCCAGCAGCTCTGTTACTTCCTCCTTTGTCATCACCACGTGCTCTGGAACCAGCTGCAAACACGAGAGAGGCTGAGATGAGGCAGCAACTGGAGACGTTTGGGAGGGGAAAAGGACAACTGTGTCCCTCACAGCCCAGCCAGAGGCCAGGAGAAGGACTGTGGGAGCTGCAGGAATGCAGCCAGCACAAGGGAGGGACCATCCTGCCCCTGCTCACCTCATGCTCCGTGATGTTAATGAGAAGCTCCTGCTGCAGGAACTGTTCCAGGATGTATTTGGGAGCCATGTCAACCAGGGACTGTAAGAAAAAGGCCCATCAGAGGTGATTGGGGCAGCCCTGGCAGTGCTCAGAGCTGCTCCTCAGCAAGAACTTGGGCTCACACAGACACAAGCAGGCTGAGAACGAGCACAAGGATCTCCTGGACCAGGGAAATATCTGTTTTTCCTTCCCCCACCTCCTGACCGCTCACGGGCCCTCAGCTGTGCTACTGCCTCCAGCACCAGCTGCTCTGGTTAAATACATTTGGGTGCTAAAAAAGATCCTGTGCTTAGATACAACAGGCTCCAGCAAAAGCTTTTACCCGAAGGGAAATTCAGGGCTTTTATTTACACACAGCAACGCTAAGAATCAGACAGGGAAAACCTCATGCCCCTCCCCAAGAGTCCCAGAGTGGGACACAGCCCTGTCCCCACATACCTGCTTGGCCGAAGGGGTCATTCCCTGCTGCACCACGATCAGTGCTCGGGTGATGTTCTCCTCCTGCATGCGCTGGCAGTACATCTTGATCGTCTTGATCCCCACCTTGGGCTCCTCTGAGGAAAGAACCAGACCCGGGGTCACCGAGAGCCCCCCGCGCTCTGAACCCCCCTCCCTGCAGGTTCAGCCAGACCCGCGGTAACTGAAAGTCTCCTGTGCTCCGAATCCCCCCTGGATTCCAAATCCCCCGGGGTCACCGAGAGCCTCCCCACGCTCTGAACCCCGCCCGGGCCGGCGCTGCTCACCGGGGAAGAACACGAACATCTGGTCGGTGGGATCATCGTTGTGAGCCACCAGCACGGTCAGGTCGGTGCGACGGGGGCGGCCCTCGCTGGGCTTGTCCCCGAACTGCGCTTTGAACTCCTCCAGCGTCTGGTCCAGCTCATCCTGGGTCACCAGGTACCCGCGGTCGTGGCAGAGCTGCGGGAGCAGCACCGGGCTCAGGAACGCGCCCGCACCGGGAACGGATGGGCGGGCATACCGGCCTCCACGTCCCCCACCTCCACCCTGCAGCCCCGCAGCACCTGCGGAACTCCCCGCGCCCCAGACTCGGCCCCCCCGGTCCCTCCATTCCCCGGACCTGCATGATGGTCTTGCGGATCTTCCACAGCCGGTACGTCTCCTCCTCGTCGTCCATCTTTCCCGCTGAGGCCCCCGCGGACTGCCCGCGCTGGTGCCTGCGCCGCGTGCACACACAGGCGGCACCGCAGCGCACACGGGGGCCTTAGCCGCGGTACCTCCTGGGAGATGTGGTCCGTCGCGAGCTGCCCCCTACCGCTGGCTCCAGAGGGAACAGGCGTCTCTCTGCTGCTGCTGGGGTGGGTCTCTGGGTGGCTGCGGCTCTGTCCGGAACCCGCGGCCGGGAGGGAGGGAATCGCCACCCAGGGGTCCCAGTCCGCAGCACCTGACTCCACACCCCGCCCTTTGGTCTGTCCCTGCCCCCGCCCTCGTGGTCTCTCCCGATAAACACCCCTGAGGCCATCCCGCCCTCCTATTGGTCACATTTCCGTCCATCATGCCGCCGAGTCCGCCTCTCTACGTTCTGATTGGCTGATCAGGCCGAAGGGGGCGGGGTTTGTGCGCTATGGGCTGGGTCACCGCGGTGCGGAGCGCGCTGAGGTGCGGGCGGGCGGCAGCGCGGACAGCGCGATCGGGACCAGGGCGGAACGCGGTGCGGAGCATGGTGAGTGCGGGGCCGCTCGGGGAGCAAGGCTCGGCCCGCTCCTCTCCGGGACTGCTCTGTGCGGTGGGGGTCGGGCCTGGGGCTGGCCCCGCGTCTCTCCCGGAGGGTGCTCAGGGTGGGCGGCGGGGGCTTGGGCCTGGCCTGGTGTGGCGGAGGTGCGGAGAGGCTCCGCAGGGTCCCACAGGGGAACGAAGGTGGCGGGCCTGGCGTGGGGCTCCCCAGTGACACTCCCGCCCCTCAGTGTGCCCAGGCGGACGACTGGCGCTCGGCCAAGACCATCTACGACTTTCACGCCCTCGACATCGATGGCAACGACGTGTCCCTGGAGAAGTACCGGTAAGATGGAGGGGCCGGGGGCTCGGGGTGGCGGAATGCAGCGCCGGGCGAGGTTGAGCCACAGCGGCTCTTGCGTAACCCTCACGCCTCGGCCGGGAGGGTGAGGGACCTCTGCCCTGCGGGGAAGGGCAGCTCATCCACCCCCTCTGCAGGGGCGACGTCTGTATCATCACCAACGTGGCCTCCAAATGAGGGAAAACTGCAGTAAACTACACTCAGCTTGTCGACCTGCACGCCCGATATGCTGAGAGGGGTTTACGCATCCTGGGCTTTCCCTGCAACCAGTTTGGGAAGCAGGTAGGTGGGGTGAGGATTCGGGTTCCCCGGGAGTGTCAGTATGACCATATGGTCAGTATGACCATAGTCTCTCACGGTCCCGGTGTGGCCCCTCAGGAGCCCGGGGACAACGCTCAGATCAAGGCATTTGCTGAGAAGTACGGGGTGAAGTTCGACATGTACAGCAAGATCGATGTCAACGGGGATGATGCTCACCCCCTCTGGAAGTGGATGAAGGAGCAGCCCAAGGGGAGAGGCACCCTGGGCAAGTGAGTGTGGGAAGGGGAGCCCTGGAGACCCCCCAGCCCTGCAGCCAGCAGAGAGGGCTTGGCTCAGGGCCTGGCTAGGGTTGAGGAAGGGCTTTTCTGCTCTAAACTCACTCCTGTTTTTTCTCTCCTAGTGCAATAAAATGGAACTTCACCAAGGTATGATACAGTTGTCTCCCCTGGGTTAAACCTCCCTCTGGGGAGCTGGGGGGTCCCTGAGGCAGAAGGGAGCCTCACACTGGGCTCTGCTCTGTGCTGTTACCCCACGTGTCAGGACAGGAGCATCCCAAGGGGTTCCTGTGTCTAGAGGCCCTTGGGAACCCCTGCCCAAGCACAGCTGAGGGGGAAGTGAGTCTGTGGGGGCTACAGCTGCCACACCCCCAGCGGCTCCCTGGGAGCCTTGGACTCGCTCATCATGGATTGCTTCACTCCCACAGTTCCTCATTAACCGGGAAGGTCAAGTGGCGAAGAGATACAGCCCGATGGAAGATCCCTATGTAAGTGCTGCTGCGAGGGAGGAGGGCAAGGCCAGGGATGTTCTTGGGGTACAACGCTCCTCTCTTGCCCGCAGGTGATCGAGAAGGACCTGCCTTCCTACCTGTAGCTCTGCTCTGCTGTCCCCCTGCCTCTCCCGACCCTGCTGCCTGTGGAGCCTCCTCCAGCCCTATGACGGGCTGCCTCCAATCCAGCTGCTGGTGGGGCAGCCCTGACCCACGGCGTGCACCTGCTGGACAGAGGCTCCAGGGGCCGTGGCCGCTGCAGGCAGGAGCAGCCAGAGCCCCCTTAGTATTGAGTCCACTTGCAATAAAGGTGTTAGGAATGAGCTGCTGTGTTCGGTGCGGGATGGGGCTGGGGCTGGGGCTGCTGCGCTGCACCTGCTGAAAACCTGGAGTTTGCTGGGAAGCCAAGACCTTATGCAACTCCTGAGCCAAGCAGGGATAATCCTCAGTGCTTAGGAGGAAGTGCAAATCCGGCATGATCCGTGCTCCCGAGGGGCTCCCTGGGCAAAGGCAGAGCTGGGGAAGGTTTGTCCCCTCCGGGATCCCTCCTGTCCCTTCTGAGATCCCTCCTGTCACCAGGAATCCTCCTGGCACGGCAGGGTACCAGAGGGGATGGGTCCAGCAGTAGTGCAAGCCCTGGCCAGGCGAAATTCTTGCAAAACAGAACCCAGGCGTGTTGGGACACGGCAAAATACCCCCTGCAGCCAGGGATGTGTCTGACCACAGCGAGCAGGATCATCCTCCTCTTCCTCGGGGAAGCGTCTTGGCGATTATGAAGGCACAGCCGTGCCCAGCCAAGCCCATGGGCGCTGGTGTCCCATCCTGGGCAGGGACAGCTCTGGTTCTGCCATGCAGAAATGCTGCTGCACCTCTTCCCAGGGCCTGGGGAATGCTGGATCTCCCTGTCACATCCACAGCCCCCTTGGGGAGTCCGTCCCCAGGAAAAATCCCCCAAGTCTGACATCCCTGCAGAGCCTCAGGGATGCTGGGAGGATCCTGCTCACATTTAGGGATCACTCACTGGGGGTCACCCCATCCCTCCTCCCATGTGATAACAGGGCCAGCAGTGCCTGGATGAGACGTCCTAGAGCTGTGTCAGCTCCCGCTGGGGGAACACGCTGAAACAGAGACTCCTTTATCTGTGTTTTTCCAGCCAAGCCAGGCGGGAGCTGCCTCATCCAAGGCCAGTGCTCAGGCTGGATCCAGCCAGGATCCTCCTCTGCACCAGCAGTGGCTTCTCCCAGGAAGAGGGGGAGGCTTGGGACAACAGCCCTCAATGCCATAGAGCTGGTGATACAGGAGGTGCAAAGTCCAGCTGCCAGCAGGATGCTGGCCCAGGGACTCCTGATCCAAGTCCCAGCTGGGCTCCTGGGGCAGGTTGGACAGACTGACAGACAGAGACAGAGCTGGGAGTTACAGAAATCTCACATGTGACTTCTGTTCCATTTTTACTGAGCAGAATGAAAAATTATCTTTTTCAAGGCAAGTAGAAAATTCAGAAATTATTAGTCCAAGGCACATATTCTAAAAAAATCTCTTTACATATGTACAACTTAATTATAAATATACATAGAAACAAAAGGTAAACGACAAGCAGATTAAAAAGTGCCAACACAAAGGTGTCAGGGAAGAAAACAGGTACTCATTAAAAATACAATCAGTAGGACAACTGCAGAATAATTTAGTTAAAAGATAACATTACATATTATTAACCCTGACAAAACATGGGATTGGGACAGGGAAGGGATTCCTTGAAGGTGCTCTGTCTTTGCAGAGACCAGGGAGGAAGGATTGCATATATTTTAAAGTTAAGGTCAAAGCCACCAGGTAAGGCTCCGGTGACAGCAGAGGGTGCCCAGCAGGGAATTCCCCCTCACTATTCCTGAGTTTAAACCTCTTTGAGCTGGGTTTTCCCGGCGTCTTTTTTCCCTCATTGCTGAGAATTCAGGCCCAAGCGAGCAGTGCTTTAAATAGGGGAGGGTGTGGAGAGGGGGAGCCTGGCTCTGCCTGGACCTGGGGGAGGCTGCTGGGGGCGAGAGGAGCAGAGCTGGGGGAGAGCAGGAGCCCCCAGGGCAGCAGCAGGGCTTGGGGGGGTCACAGGGGGCTCCCCCATCTTTGGTGATAACTTTGAGGTAAGGAGGTGAAATGTGCCCCCAGCTGCAGGGATTGAGCCTGGCCTGGTGCTGTGAGGCTGGGGAGGGGGGGTAGGACAGGCCCCCAAAATGAAATTCAGGGACCAGAGTAGCCTCAAACTGAGCCCACTTGTGTGACACCAGGGCAGGTCTGTGACCTCGGGGTGTCGGGGGTCAGCTCCTGCCACAGCCAGAGCACAACGCTCCAGACACGGACCCAGAGCAACTCCCAAAACCAAACAGGGCACTGGGCCAGTCCCTGAGCCCTGGGAACACGGGGGTGGCAGTGTCTGCCCACAGGAGGTGACACCACCAGGCACTGTGAAGCTTCAGCCCCTCAAGACTGCCCTGTTAAGAGCACAGAGGACCCCCTTCCCCAAGGGCTCTCTGGGGAAGGGCCAGCTCAGCCAGGGCTGGTCCCTGCCATTTTTAGGGAACGCCTGGATGCTCTCTGTCCTGGGGAGGAGGCAGCAGGGGGTGGGGCAGTGCTTTGCAAAGCAGCCTTTGTTCTTTGGTATCCGAGGGGGAGGTTGCAGCAGGAACAGCCAAATCGCAAATCCCAGGCGGTGACAGTGGCACTGCACAATGACAATAACAATGCAATGACAATAACACTGCATCTTTCAGGCAGTGACACTGACACTGCACACCCTGGGCAATGACAATAACACTGCATCTTTCAGGCAGTGACAATGACACTGCACAACCTGGCTGGGCTGCCCTGACCCAGACCCCTGGACTGAGGTCCATGGCCCAGCCAAGGACAGTGGCAGGACCAGCGGGATGTCCAGGTGAAGGGACAACATGTGACAGCAGGAAACTGGCCAAAGCACGTCTGGTCACGGCGACCTGGTGAGGTTAAAGTGCAGGACAGGGGACATGTGTCCCTTCTGCTCTGGGGAATCCTGCTGGTCCTGGCGTGGCTGAGCTCTGACAGACTCCAGCTCTGTCACCGTGGGGGTGCAGCCAGCTCTCACCACTGCCACGGAGCTCAGGCAGTCCAAGGTCCCTTCCTGGGAAGGGCAGCACAGGCAGTTTTGGATCTCTCCCTACACCTGCTCAGCCCTGCCAGAGGACACCTGAGCTCAGCATCTCCCAGCTCCTCTGGGACAACATTCCCTTCCCCTTCCTCCCAGTCTGCCAGCACAGCCTCAGGGTCTGCAGCAGTGCTGGGGCAGCCCCAGCTGGGGGCTGGGCTCCCACCCTTCCCTAAGTGACCAGCACGTGGTCAGTGGATCATTCCAGAGCCTGGCCATGGCCCTGCTGGGCTGGAGGGCTGGGGAAGGCTCGGACACTCAGTAGTCTGCAGGGGGTGGGCAGAGGAGGGGTCTCCCTTCAATCCCACTCGGGCACTGACCTGTGAGCAGGACCTGACCCAGCAGAGCCCTTCGGCCCAGTGGGACCTGCTCAGCTTCCCCTGGGCACGTTCCATACAAACCTGTACATGCCTGACTGAAAATTATATATAAATAAAATTCCCTTTAAAGGAAATCCAGGCTTTTTCTTCCCTCAAAACTAGAGCAGAGTCAGTCGAAACCAGTAGAAACGTCAGAGCTCCTTAACTCTCACCTCTGCACCAGAGGACGTGGATCCACAGCAGCATTCCCAGCTGGCATTCAGAAGTCTGGGAAAGGCCCACTGAACTGGATCACACTCTGGCGTTCTGGGGGGAGCAGGTTCTCCTGGGAGGGACCGATCGTCCTCAGCATTTCCTCCAGGACCTCTCTATAATTGATATTCCCACTTTGCTGGAGAAAATCCTCTTGTGGCTGCTGCAGGGGGGCCGGGGGAGGCAGGGCAGGGGGCTCATGCAGCGAGGGGCCAGGGGCTGTGCTGCCCTCCAGGCCAGGAGCGTGGCCAAAGCCAAAGGACAATCTGTGCTGCTGCTGGGGCTGCAGGGAGGGCTCTGAGGAGAAGCAGAGTGCTCTGGTCTCGGGGTTCAACACGTCAGGAATGCTGTTGCTGGGAGGGCTGTAGGTCAAGTCCAGGATCTCGTCCTGGCATAGGGAGGGCAGGGGCAGCCCAGGTCCTGGCAGGATGTGCAGTGGCAAGGAGAAGGGTGAGCTCTGCTCCTGGGCCTGGTGCAGCCGGCTGTGCTTCCTCTTCACATCCTCATCCATCTGCTTCAGCTCCTCCCTCACCCTGTGGACGCAGCTCTCGGGGATCTTTATCCCTGGGGGAGGAACAGACATCAGTCCCCTGTGGCAGAAGCTTTCACCCCAATACAGCAAAACTTTATCTCCCCATTATACATGGCTAAGTCAGACTGGAAATTGTCATGTGATTAATTATCTCTGGCTTATTTATTAATTATTCTATCTTGGTGCTGGGCAGCTGGACTCTTCTCCCTTCACCCTGCTCCCCTTTCCAGCACTTCACCCACCAACTTGTTTCTTCTTCTCCTTGGTCTTGAGGCGCACGATCTGCAGGTAGCTGCTGTTGGTGATGTCTGCCATGATGCCGGCGATCCTGCTCCACACTCGCAGCAGGGCCCCACACAGCATGTAGTAGTGCCTCAGGCGCATGCCCTGGAAGCATTCCTTCCCCTCCTGGATCAGCTTGCAGCTCTTGTTCCTTTGGGGACCGTGGAAGAAAACCACTGGAATTAGCACAGGTTCCTGGAGCTGAGTGGGATTCACTTGCCCACAGCCTCTCCCAGTGCCACAGTCAGGAACCCCCAAGAATGAGAGGATGTGGCTCAATGGCTTTAAGCTGAAAGTGAGGAGATTTAAACTGGATATTGGGAAAGAATTCCTCCCTGTGAAGGTGGTGAGGGCCTGGCACAGGCTGCCCAGAGAAGGTGTGGCTGCCCCATCCCCATTCCTGGACGTGTTCAAGGCCAGGCTGGATGAAGCAAACTGGTGGAAGGTGTCCCTGCCCATCCCTGCCATGGAACTGGATGGGTTTCATTTAAGGTCCCTTCCAACCCAAACCATCCCAAGATTCTGTGCAGGCTGTGGCTGCAGCTGCCTCACCACACAGCGTGGTTACAGTTCTTCAAGGAGAAGTGGTAGCTGCTCTCCCAGTGCTCCTTGGCTTCCTCGGGCAGCACCTGCAGCAGAACACTCAGCATTAGGAATTTTCCACAGTCCAGGATGAAGAGATGTGAAATCCAGGGCTGGGAGTCAGGACACCCACAACAGAGCCACCAGGAGCTGTGACAGGGTTACAATGTCCCTTCCAACCTCCCCCAGCCCCCCCACTGGAGGCTGCAGGTCCCACCTACCTGCCGGTATTTCTTCTGCAGACTGTCCAGGCTCTCAGGCTGGCTTTGCTTCCCAATATTTGGCTTGTAGAGGATGAAGTTCTTCCCACGGCACTGCTCTGCCAGCAGACAGGTGTATTTGCTGCCTCGCACCTGTGGGGAACAGCTGATGGGCACAGGCACAGCCTCCCTCCCCAGATTTCTCTAAACTAACCCCTTCCTGCCAGGATGGAGGTCCTTGGAAGCATTTCCCAGCCTTCAGGAAGAGTGACCTCGTAGAACCATGGCAGATGCTGGAATCACTCCTGGCAGAGCCCAGGGACGTACCTTGTAAGAGAGGTAGAACCCATCAAAGGTTCCTGTCAGTTTGAGCGACTTCTCATAGGCTTCCTCCCACTTCAAGCCTCTGTCAACGCTGATCTGAACAGGGACACACAGATGGATTTGTAACTCCAGGGGCAGGACAAGTGCCTCGGTGTCTACCTCACAGATATCCCCTCAGCACAGCTTAGAACCAGGCAGAGACAGGTGCCCACCTTGTAGAACACGACCTGCCCATCCTGTGGGTGCCCAGGGGTCAGGAAAACCTCCTTGCTCTCCTCGTAGATCTCATCCACTCCTGGGGCTAAATCTGTGGAAGGAGAAAAGGCTGTTGTAAAGAACATCCTCCCAAAAGCACCTCCTTGGGTCTCAGGATCTCTGCTGGGTGGGGACACTGCACTGGGAGGAACTGGAACCCTGGGGGTGCAGGAGGCAGAGCTGTGGCCACCCCTCCTTCTCCATACCAAGGATGCCCATGTCGTATTTGCCCTCCTTCTTGTCTTTCTCAATCAGGTAGTCAAAGGTGTCAGAGAAATACTGGAAGAGCATGTTCTGCTTGTCCACCTCCAGGCCCAGGATGCGGTTCAGGAATTTGGTGATGGAGCAGTCTGCAAGAGCACAGTATGTCAGGGAATGTGGTGCAGCTGGACATGGAACCCACCAGCCCCCTCCCAAAGAGCCCACCCAGCAGCCCCACCAGGCTCCTTCTGACAGCAGCCCAGTCCAAGGAAGCTCCTGTGAGGAAGCTGGGGGTCCATGGGGATCTGCAGCACAGGCTGGTCCCACAGGACCTTCCCCTCAAGGCAGACATCCTGCCCAGGTGCCCAGCAAACCCCATGAGGCCAGGTGGGCCATGACACCCCCATCTCTTCCATCTGGCCCCTGCCTCGGGCAGGAGCAGCTCCACACGTACCCTTCTCCACAGAGACAGTGCCATACTTCATCTGGCTGCAGCAGATGCCCACGGAGATGAGCCCTTGCTTCATTTCTGGAATGGCAGAAGACATCTTTTGCATTTTGGGGTTAAGCTTCCCATCAGCATTCCTGCAGGACTGCTTCCCCTCCAGGAACTCAGGCCCTCCCCATGCCTGGCAGGGTGACATCGTAAGCCAGTGACACTTTCCCCTCTGTTTTCTCCCTCTGACCTCCTGCTCAGTTCTTCCAGCATCCCAAACCTGAGACCAACCCATCCAGCAGGAACCCTGGTAATGTTCTTACCACGGAAGAAGGTGTCCTCCCCTCTCTCGTAGCTCCTGGGCACAGGAACCCTGTTCTCCGTGTGCCTGAGGATCGTGGACAGGACCCTGTCCAGGGCTTTGGCCCCGTACTGTGGGAGGAGACCGGGGTCACACATGGGAGGAACAGACACGGGCAGCCGAGCTGGGGCTGAGGGTGTCACAGTGCTGAGGGTGACACTGCTGAGAGTGTCACACGCTGCTGAGGGTGTCACTGCTGAGGGGACACACACTGCTGAGGGTGTCACACACTGCTGAGGGTGACATTGGTTAGAGTGTCACACACTGCTGAGGGGACACACTGCTGAGAGTGTCACACACTGCTGAGGGTGTCACACGCTGCTGAGGGTGACATTGGTTAGAGTGTCACACACTGATGAGGGGTCACATGGTGTTGAGGGTGCCACACACTGCTGAGGGTGACACTGATGAAAGTGACACTGCTGAGGGTGTCACGGCTGAGAGTGGTTAGAGAGTCACACACAGCTGAGGGTGTCACACACAGTTGTGGGTGTCACTGGTGAGAGTCACACTGCCAAGGGTGTCACACACTACAGGGAACACTGTCACCCCAGAAAGGCCGCAGACAAGGCAAGGGGGAAGCTGTGTCAGTGCCTCCCATGTCCCCATGGGATTGGAGTACAGGCCCCTCCCTGGGGACAGAGGACTGGGTGCCCTTCCCAGCCTCCCTTCCCATCTCCGGGTGGGAGCAGAGTCCTCAGTGTGACCATGGCTCGGAGCTCGCAGGAGCTGGGAGCCAGGAGCTGGGTGCTAGGCTGGGCCCTGCCTGCAATGATCCTCCTGGCTCTGCCTCCCTCTCCCAGCTCCTCCCACCCCCTCTCAGCCACACTGCCCCAGCCCAGCCCTGTCACCTTGTTCTCGAAGTTGTACTTGCTGAGGTCCCGGGACTCAGTGGCCCGTCGGTCTCCATGAGTTAAGGCACCCTGGGAAGGCAGAGGGAGCAAAAAGTTCAATTCTGAGTTGTTGCAAAACACCAAGGAAGAAGGGCCAAAGGCATGTCCAGGAATGTGCCATGGGGAGGCAGTGTTCCTCTGGAATACTGAGACTTTACCAAAGGATTTGGGGATTTATCAGAAGTGAAGAAAATGAAACAGAGGCAAACTAATGATTCCGTTGATTATTTCATCAGCTTTTTGGGAATAGCATGGGTGTATGCTCCAGTAACAGTGGGGAAATTGCAGCATCTGGAAGCGGGTTCTTGCTTCCCTGAAATTCCTCCCAACGCCTTGGTTATGTATTCTTGCTCACTTCCTTTCCTAGATCCCAGGATGCTGAAATGCAGTCATTCCATGACTGCAATGCCTCAGTCAGGGGTGACACAATCCCCCCCCGTTATAGTGGCCACGCTGGTGGGACCTCTGACCTGGAATCTCCTCAGAGGGAATCAGAGCCATGTTGGGACCACAGCTGATCTCTGCTGTGGGCACTCACCAGGCTCTCCAGGCGTTTTGCCACGATGGATGCAAACCTCCTCTCCCCTGCCAGCTCTGAGATGAGGAACACGTACTCGGGGGCAGAGACCTGGTTGGATCGGTGTGTTCGGCCTGCAGGGATGGAACAGGAGGTTGGGATGGCCTGTCTGGAATGGGAATGTAACCAGAAAAGCCACATAATGCCCATCTTTCCCACCCTGAGGAGTCCATCCTCTGCCCCAGAGCTCAGGGCTGCAAACCCAGCTCTGCCAAGCCTCAGCAGCATCGTTGCCTCTGTTCTTTTCCCCACAAAGACATCTCCTAAATGCACCTTGGGCTGCCACCACACTTGACCCTCCCAGGGCCCATCCCACGGCCCAGCCCACGCTCAGGGGAGGTGACAGCACCCAGGGACACCCAGCCCTCACCGAACTGCTGGATGGCCCGGTCTGCGCTCCAGGGCAGCTCCAGGGTCATGTGCACCCGGCGCTTCTGGTTCTTCACCCGTCTGTCTGCTTGGAGGGAGATCCCTGAGCTGGAGGCCTCTGAGATTATTGCTACGAGCTACAGGAGAGACCAGAGTGAGGTTCCTGGACACGTGCTAAACAGCTTCAAGAAACAGCCCCAGGCACTGCAGCAGCCCTAACCCACAAAGGGACATGGGAGGTTTTGTCACCTTCCAGCAGGTGAAATCCACAGAGAGCTGCTGGCCTGAGGCTGGCAGGGCACAGCGAGGCACAGACACCCTCCCTGCCCTCTCACTCTCAGCACACTCAGTCCCATGCAGGCTTTTGGAGCCCAAGCCCAGCTCACCTTTTCCCCCTGCATGAAACGCTCCTTCTCCTTCAGGTTGACATGGTCTATGGAGAGCCCCTGCTCGGCGCGGGACTCGAACACGACGGAGCCGTCGGGCCTGCGGACCACGCGTCCCTTCCTGCCCGTCATCTGCACACAGGACAGCGCCTGCTACAGCCTGGGGGCCCACACGGCCCAGCAAGGCCATCCAGGCAGTTCCCAACAGCTTTTTCACATTGCCAGGGAGAGGAAACCCACTGCCAGCAAGAACCTTCTTTTTTTTTAATAGAAGACATTTGTCCCTATATGGGCACAGGGTGCCCAGAGAAGCTGTGGCTCCCATATCCCAGGAAGTGTCCAAGGCCAGGCTGGATGGAGCTTGGAGCAACCTGGGATAGTGGAAGGTGTCCCAGCCCAGGGAGAGGGGTGGAACAAGATGATCTTTAAGATCCCTTCCCACCCAAACCATTCCATGATTCTGTGATTCTTCACTGGCCCCTTTCCCTGTCACCCAGGGCCACCAAAATACGCTGACCATGGGAAGTACCTCAGCCACGTTCTCCGGGCCCCCAAAATAATCAATCAGTTCATCCAAGGTGTTGAGAGGTAGCTCTTTGCCCAGTGCTTTCACTTTTACTAGGAGGTCCTGTTTCATCTTTTCGACCTTCAGCTCTCTCAGGCCGTGCAGCTCTTTCTGGGAAGGCAGCATGTGGAAACTACCTGCAAAGTGAAAGGCAAAAGTTTAGAGTTCTCTGGTAACTGGACATCAGAGAGGGGGAAAAAGTTGTCCTAGAGGGTTTCTGGGGGCACTGTTGCTGGACAAAGGCACAATGACCTGCAATAAAGGCTGAGCATGGAGTGAATCCCTCTGGGCTCCCCTTTTCTGCTGGGGGAAGGAGCACACAGGGCTCGCTGATCACAGCGGGTGAATGTGGATCCATCTCACAAGCCCAAGTGTGACCCCAACGATAAAATCCAGCCAGGCTGTCCCAAGCCTGAAGGGGCTCCTGCAGGACTCAGTGTCCTCCTCCCCAGCTGTCCCCATGTCACTGCCCTGCTCACCCCTGTCCTCGCCAGTGCAGCCGCCGAAGGTGTGATCCACGAAGATGACATCGTCTGTCTCCAGCAGGGACTCTGGGGAGGAGGTGAGGTCGCTGTCCAGCCCCATGTCCGAGTCAGTGCTGCTGTCATCGCTGATCTTGATGACGACCCCTGGGTCACACGGGCCCCGCAGAGCCTTGGGGCAGCGGCCCCTCGGCCGCCCTGCACCAGAGAGCGAGCAGTGTCACAGCCACAGCATCGGCAGGGCACCAGTGCAGGACAGGGAGAAACTGCTCAGAGAGAGGAGGAATCCCAACAGAGCTGAGCCTGCCCCAAATGACAGTGTGACCTCGGAAACACAGAGCCTCTGGGGTGGCCGTGGCAGTTAGGGAGGGAGGGAGAGCAGGAAAGAGAAATGAAGAGAGAGAAAGGAAGAACAAGGCACTCGTGAGCAGGGCTGAAGTTGGCTGCACACGTCAGGATGGGCACACGGCTGGCTCTAAGCAGTGCCAGCTCCTCAGGGAAGGAATCTCCAGAGGAGTGTGCAGGACACAGGGAAGCACTGGTGTTTTGGGACATTGCTCCCAAGCACAGCAAAACGTGCCCCCTTCTGCATAAGAGGGTTCATGGATCAGCTTGCACAGGCTGCTGCACAATCTGCCACTGCTGCTGCCCCCTCTTCCCCCTGTTCCACATCCCACTGGAGAAGAAATCCCAATACTCTTCTTACCTGCAGCCACAACAAATAATTCAGCAGGGAATTTATTTTTTTTTTTTCCCTCAGGACACCTGCTATGCTCTAAGTAAGGGGTTGTGGAGGACTCCCCTTGCTGCAGGAGGGATTCAAACACCAGCCAGGCCTTGTGCCATCTGTCCCAGTGTGGGTCGAGGGGAAGGATCAGGACAAGGTTTAGGGGGACAAAGAGAGGAAAAGGGGGAATGACCTAGAGCTGCCATCTTCTGGATGAGGGAGCAATGGGAGATGTGCAGGAGGGCAAAGCAAAACCAGGGAGAGCAGCAAAAAGCATGAAGTGGGGAGAAGGGCAAAAGGCAGAGAAGCTGAGTGGCTGTGGGGGAGCAGCAGGGCAGGAGGCAGGGGCTGGGCTGGGACTGAGGGAGCTCTTACGTTTTCTTTTAATGCCAGTTCCTTTTTCTCTCTTTCTTTTGGTTGAAGGAAAGTGCTTCTGAATTAGTGATAGAAAGACGCCTCTGCAAGTAAGATGCAAAATTTATTCCAGCTACCAGCAACATGTGCTGGTTATCACATACCAATGTGTGCTCGGGATAACCCCACATTCCATGGAAGAGAGGTCAATCCACCCCATCCATGGCCACCAGCTTGGCCTCAGCCAGCCCTTGGTACAAGGTGGCTCTTGGACCTGCAGGTCCTTTATATAGCAACCAAGAAGGAGTTTTAAATGGGAAACACGACACTGGGAAGCTGTTCCACCAAAAATCCAGTAAGTCCCAGTGTCCCAGCCCCACTCCATGCCCTGAGAGCACAGACCACTGTCAGGCCATCCAACAAATGTGCTCCAACAAAGTCCTCCCACTCCCTGGCCGTGGGCCTGCTTCCCACAAAACCAAGAGACAGAACATGGATCTGTAATGGTTCTAAGTGAATGGAAGAAAAAAAAAAAGTCAGAAAAGGTGAAAATCAAGGGTTTCTGTGAGCTGTTCTGCAAATCAGAGAGCAAATGCTTAAATGCTGACTGTGTGGATGAACCCCCAGGGCAATGGGGTGGTGCTGATTGAGCTCTGCTTGGAAAAAAAAAAAAAAAAAAAAAAAACCCCAAAACCCCAAAACCAGTTGCAAGCAACAGGTGAGAGGATGGACATGACAACTCCCCCGGGTGAGAAAAGGGAGATTTGGGAACTGTGGAAGGAGCTCCAGGACCCTTGGCGTGAGGGGCTGAAGGGGACAGTGACCACACTGCTCCCCAGAGGGACAGAGCTCTGTGACTGCAGTTATGGGACACCAGGAATGACCCCTTGTCCTTGGGTGTGCTGGGGTGACCCAATGACCACTCACTCTGGAGCCTCCCGGCTGTGAAATTCCACTCATTTCCCGTAGTCACCCTCCCCATCTCCCTGAAAACAGAGCCCTGGGCTGGAATCCACTGACAGGACCATGTTTATTTTTAACCCCATTTCTCGGCATCTTTAAACTGCTCCTTCCCAGCACACTCCCCTCCAGAAATCCCCCGAAGTGCTGGAACATCAGGACACACATTTGGAGGCTGAGCAGATGCCAGGAGACACTCAGTGATCTGGCCAGGGCTGTGGAACACAGAGCTCCTGCCCTTGGGAGTGGGGAAAATTCACGGAGTGGGACCCCTGACAGACCCCTCCTCCTGCACTGCTCAGCAAGGGATCTCCCTAGACTGGAGTTCTGTGACATGGAAACCAATCCAAGGGGCCAAATCACCCAAGGAGCTGCCAGACCTGCCCTGTGCACTGTATTTGGTTTTCAGAAATGGGCTGGAGGCAGAGGAGTGACACAGATCAACCCAAACCCCCATCAGCAAGGGAGGAAAGCTCAGCCTAACCCAGCCTCACGCTGCCTCAGGCATCTCTCACTGCTCCCACCTGCAGCAGAAGTCACCTGGAAGAAAACAGCTCTGTAGAACAGAGGAAACCCAACCCATGTCCCAGGTTTCTGTCCCCTGTCATGCAGGAACAGCCACATTCAGGGATGGGCTGGGGTTTTGGAAGCTGCAGGAAGGAGGGGGAGCAGTGAGGGGGAGCCTCACTCTCTGCTGAACGGGTAGCACAAGTCCTGCTGCTGGCTTACTCCTGGCTGTTGGAAACAGCTTTCCTGTTAGCTGGGAACCATGGCCACACAGCCAAGACACTGGTCCTGCTTTACATGTGAGCTAAAAGCCAACACTGGTGGATCCAAACTCCTCAGACCACTCCTCCTTCCCCCGCTCCACAGACATCACTTCACAGCATCATCCCAGGCTCTGCCACCACAGTAAATTCTCTTCTGTGTCAACAGCCTCGTTTTCCAGAGCCAGATTCACACAAACTACCTCTGAGCTACATTTCTGGCTCTCTTTCTGACAAGTCTTTTATGTGTGTGTAGAGTGGGATCAAGCTTTTCCTGTAAATCCATGGGAGACTTCAAAATCCGGGATGTAGCTCATACAGTGCCACTGAGGATACAGTGCCTCAAGAACCCACCTGAGTGTCCCCTCCGTGGAACAGGGGGAGGTGACAGCAAACTGCATTTGAAGACCTGCCAGTGCTCCGTGCCCCAGGGCAGAGCTTTCTTCCCACCCCTCCAGCCTCCCACGCACCTCACAAAGAAAACAGGGATTTTTAACTCACTCTGCAGCAGAGACAAAGCAGTTGAGGTGCCCATCGTTCTCATCCAGAACCTCCCTGGTGCGAGCCTCCCCCGTGGACTGCAGGCCAATGACAATGCACTGTGGGGACACAGGGACATGAGGAATGGCACAGTGAGGTGCCAGGGCAGCTGCACGGCCACAGGCTCGAGGCATTTCCCAGGCCCAGGTACCTCCCCCTGCCCCCTGTTCCAGGCAAATCCATGCTGGGCCCATAGCAGGGCTCCTGAGGAAGAACCATCTCTCAAATCTTTCAGCATCAACACCCCCCCTGTGCTGACCCCACAGAGGGGGACTCTGAGCACAGAACCTCACTGACTGTGATAGGAAGTTTCTGCCAAAAATCTCCAAGGTGCACCCAGACAGAAGAAAGGACAGAGCTGTACTTGAGGTAATTGTAGAATTACAGATTGGTTTGGGCTGGAAGGACCTTAAAGTCCATCTAATTCCAACCCAGGGACAACTTCATTAGACCAGGTTGCTCTAAGCCCCATCCAACCTGGCCTTGAACACTTCCAGCTTGAACACGACCCAGAATCCCCTCCCAGCCCAGCCTGCCCACACAAACAGCAGGTAACACCTCAGGAGACCACATCACCTTAACTCCCCAGCACCATCCACTGGGAATATTCCCAGAAACCCAGACACTGCTCTTCACTCTGGAGAAAAATCCAGCCTTAAAGAGGTTTGAACCGGCTGCCAAGCCGAGCAATAATGATCCTCCTTTGGTTGCAGACTACACAAAAGCTCAGGTGAGGCTGCTGCTCCCATACCTTGTCCCTGGCCAGCTCCTCCTGGGCCAGCTCCACGAGCCGCCGCACCTTGGCAGCGATGCAGAGGTACTTGAAGAAGCGCTGGTGAGCCGACCAGAACTGACCCCACAGCGACTTCCGAGACTCCAGCCCGATGCAGTCAGCTGCCTGCTGGAACACCATCAAGGCCTCTGCCCACTGCAGATAACACCAAGAAGAAGGAGTTAGTACAATTCCCATTGTCGTTCCTGCCATGCAGGAGGTGATCAGAGCAGTCTGAAGGTTGATAATCTGATTTAGAATCAGTGTGCATCGGGCTGAAAGAACGTTGGTCATCCTCTCCATCAGCACGGTGCAGTTTTGGTTTGCAAACGTGGAACTTCCAAACAGAAGCAAAAAAGTCTAAGTTCTTTTATTACATCAGCTGAGCAATGTGTGCCTCTTTTCCTTCCTATGTTTGAGGTCATGGCCACATTGAGGGGCCTCACACCCTCCCACAGACCACTGGCTGTGCCCAAAGCATGGTCAGACCTCAGCCTCCCACTACAAGGGGCCCAGCTCACCAGCTTGGCTGCCTTGTCGTAGACAGCCTTGTACTGCTCGTCCAGAGGGATCTCCTCAATCCTGAAGGTCACCCCAGTGAAGCTGAGCTGCCGAGCAATGTACATCCCACTGACCTTCATGTCCATGGCCACGATCTCCATGGCGCCGACTCCCCTGGGAGAGGACGACAGTTGTGGGACCAACCTCAGAGCCCCAGCTGTTAACCCCAGCTGTGGAACCCCAGTTTTGAAACCCAGCTCTGAACCCCGTTTTGGATCCCAGCTCTATACCCCAGCTCTGAGCCCCAGCTGTGAAATCCCAGCTGTGGAACTCCAGTTGTGAACCCCAACTGTGAAACCCGTTTTCAATCCCAGCTCTGAACCCCAGATGTGGAACACCAGTTGTGAACCCCAGCTCTGAGCACCAGTTCTGACCCCCAGCTGTGAAACTTCAGTTTTGAATCCCAAATCTGAACCCCAGCTTTGAATCCTAGCTCTGAACCCCAGTTGTGAACCCCAACTGTGAAATCCCAGCTCTGGGACTCTCCCTCTACTCTGGAGCAGCACAGGGCAGGTGCCTCTCCAGAACCAGCCCCACCCCAGCTCCTGCTGCCCACACCATCCTGGGGCACTGCACCACTTCCCACACAAGGCTCCCACCTGCACAGGGCTGGACAGGACTCACCTCTTCTCAATGGCGTGCAGGAACTCATCGAAGGCTCGGAATGGGGTCCCCTCTCCCCAGATCCCCAGGCGGCTCATGTAAATCATGTTTTTTGGCTCTGAGGCACCTGTTGGGACAGAAATCACTGTCAGCAAACCCACAGCACTTGGGAATAGTTGTGACTCGAGTGAAGAGGTTGTCATTTGCCATTGTGCCTTCGGAGACCTTTCCAAACACTGCCCTCCATACATTCAGTGGCTGAACATCACCAAACAGCTGGAACAGCTGGCCAGAAAAAGTCAAACTGGAGAGAAATTAATCTGACCTGCCAGAAAGTCACAAGTAACATCAGTGATGGGGCTTGGGGCAGATCTCAGCACGCTGAGCTCCTCTCTAGCCCTGCAGCACCACTGGCCTCTCCTTACAGGATCTCACACACACTCATACCCCAGGGTGCCCCTTTGGGTCAGAGGGGACCTGTGCCACTCTCACACCCACACTGTGGGCAGAGCAGCTCACCTGTGGCACTGGCGTAGACAACCCTTGCTCGAGGCAGCTTGTTCTGCAGATCCAGCACTGCTTTGCCCATTTTGGTAGAGCTGGCGTTTTTGGCTTTGTGGCATTCATCAAATACAATCTGGAGGGGAGTGTCAGTTAAGGAAAAAGGATCTGTTTGCATCCCAAGGATGTGAGCAGACAGAAAACAGAGCCCAATCTCCTCCAAGCAACTGAACGACCTGTCCCAGTATCAACAGGACTGACTCATGGTCACACATGGAATCTGCTGGGTTTGCCCAGCCCTGTGATCTTCAGGCCCAAAGTTATCTCCTCCCTCTCCCTTCACCTCCAAGGTGTGTCCTGTAATACTGAGGAAGAGGAATGCTGAAAAGGTTAATCCCAGCTGCTTCTTCCCCTCCTCCTCTTAACTGCATGCTGGGAGGAGGAGGAGATGTGAGTGTGGGGGATTCCTGTCTCCTGCAGGCACTGGGCTGCTCCCCATGACTTCACATGGCCTCAAGCTCTTTGTTCCCCGCTGAAGCACACTCACAAGCAGCAGTTCTTCTCTCTCTCCAGACTTTGTCTCTTGTTTTTTTTTAAGGATACAACTCCCTCAAAGTTTTCCCTGCACCACTCCAAAATCTGTTTTAAGCGCGTCCTGTGCTGTCCCCCAGCCTGGCTTTCACCGATCAGCGCCGAGTAGGTGGCAAAGAGGACTCCTTCTGAGGTAGCTGTGTCACCGTATTTAATCTGCAGGAAGAAGAGCAAGAGCACACACACATTGTGATTGCTCTCTCCGGCATGTCACACCCATCCCTGCCCACATTCCGTGTGCCTCAGCCGTGCAGGACACACATTCCCGCTCTGAGAACAAATCCCAGCCCGAGCTCAGAGCAGGCAAAAAGCTATTGGTAGCTGATGTCTCCAGCATTTGTGTTTGACACTGAAATATGGTGATGACAGGGACTGTAAGTGCCTGGAAAAGTGCCCCAGCCAATGTGTCAGCACATCTGGAAGCCTGCAGTGAACTGTGAGGACATAGAATTACTGGCAAAAAAAGTGCTTCCCTTTTTTAAAGCAACAATTTAGAGTCTTTAATTGCTTTGACCCTTCCTGTCTGTTTTAATTCCTTCTAGAAAATAATTTTCTCTTTGACCAGGTGAGATTGTTGCCTGTCTCACTGCCACGGATCCCATGTGTAACGAAATACAAGGTTAAGGGGGAAAACCCTGGTCCCAAGCTGAAGAAAGTTCATTTCAAGTCTTTTGGGGCTGAAAATCCTTCAGTGGAGCACATTCAGAGGTGTCAAACACCTGTGGTTTCTATGGACTCTGTAAGAGCTGGTTGTTCAATACCATTAAAACCAGAGGACAGGATTTAAGTGAACTGGGAGACACTGGACAGAGACTCGACCACAGGCCACAACAGACACCAGTCTGGGCATCTCTGAGAAGTGATTCCATGAGCCAGCACTGGGAAAGGCTGGCCCAGGACAGCAGAGCACATATCACAGAGCTGTTCTCTCCACAGGATTCCTTAATAATGGTGAAGAAGGTTCCAGCTCTGCTGTACTTGCTCTTGCCTGCAGACACTTCCCACTCCCTGCAGGGAACAGCTCTGTGCTCCGTGTGCAGCTCCACAATAAAAATAGCTGGAGCCCCGAGTGGGAAGAGCTGGCTGGGAGGAGGGAGCAGAGACTCTGCTGTGCCTGAGCCTTGTCCTGCTCCAGGACAGAGCCCCCAGCTGCTCCCGGGGGCTGATTCCCAGAGCAGCAGTGCAGCTCCTCTCCTACCTTGTTCAGAGCATGCACAGGAATGTGGGAGGCCTCGATGTCCTTCAGGTCTCTCTCGGCATCGTACTTGAGATCGTTGGAGACGCTGAACCTGTGCGGGAGATGTGGAGGGGTTATCTCCTCCTGGGCCCCGGGGAGTCAGGGCACACGGTGATTAACAACGCTGGTGATTAACAGCTCTGACTAACGCAGGAGGAGCTGTGCAAAGTTCTCACATCTCCCGCTGCCCACACACCCCAGTGTGAGATCCGACAGCCTGTGTGCCCCTCGGTACAGGCTGTGATCGGCAGCAATGCCCCATGTTCCTGGCTCTGCACCTGGGAAGCTCAGGAACAATTCCAGGGACTCCTCCACGACTGCAAGGAGAGCAGGGCTAGGCTTGACATCTCACCTCAAGGAGCACAAAACCTGCTATTTCACAGTGACTCATTCTCCATCCCTGCTGCAGGGGGAATATTCCCATTTCACAGGCAGCAGTCAGGCACTAAGAGGTGGAAACGACTTACCCAAGGCCACAGCATGACTCAACTCTAAAGCCAACATCAGCACTAAAGAATTCCTTACTTCCAGATCCAAACTAACTCCAAGGTCTTACGGGAAAAGAGGAAAAAAAAAAACCAACAACTTACCACAGAGCTTTTTTCCTCCCTTTGAGATAATTTTCAAAGATGATGCCTGCAACAGTCCTGCCCTTCCCAACTCCAGCACCATCCCCGATCAGGAACCCAGCTCGCTGCCCATTGGGCAATAAAACTTCATGTTGCTGCAAAATCAAGAACAGAACTGAAAATTAAAAAAGATTTGCCTTCGCTAAGTGCTTTGATGTGAGCACCACTTAACCCTTTCATACATCCCACAGATGCACGTGTACAGCTCAGCCAAAACATGGCAGGAAAGGTCAGGGGTCGTGATCAAGCTCACAAGTGGCAGTTCATGGAAAAGGCACCCCAAATGTAAAACCCTCTGCAAGATAAGTCCAGGGTTCTTGCCTCTTTGGAATACAGATTGTACAGAAGCCCCTGGCTTCAAATAACCCTTCAAAAGGCATTTAAAATGCCAAAGGAGTTTCATCACCCAAATTCCAGTCATTTTAAAACACCTGTCCCTGCAAGAGGCATTTTCTTTCAGGTGTGGGACACCTGGAGGTGCAGGAGGTACCTGGCAGGCGTAGATGATGGCTTCCAGCTGTAGTGCAGACAGGGAGCCTTTGTCAGCCACGGAGTGGGGAAGGGAAAGCTCATAGGTGATGTCAGGTGGAGGGACGCTGGACAGGGTGCTCGTCTCAACCACCAGGTCAGGATGGTGCTTCCCAATCTTGGCTAAATGACAAGAGAACACAGGTCACTCGAGGTCTTTACTCCCAGGGGCACCTCAGAGCTCATCACCCAGCTGGAGCTCAGGACATTGTACAGTTCTCCTAGAAAACCACAAGCCTGGGAGGTGCCACAGCAAACACACAATTAAATTAGGCTGGTCCACAATGGAGTGAGCAGCAATTCCCAAGGCAACACTTACACTTTGAAGGGATATATTCAGCATAGGTCTCTGTCTGCCCCAACTCTTCCGTTTCTTCCTCCTCACCTTCATCTTCCTCCTCTGCAGGAGCCTGAGACTGAAGAAAACAGCATTGACCCAACATTAATGTTCCTGCTGAGCTGCAGACATGTGTGGTGCTGTGCCTGGCCTCAAACTGCCACTGAAAACAACCCCAGAGCCACAACCCCCCTAAACACAGCCCATCTCTTTAAGGAAAGCCATCAGTGGGAGCCCACCCCAGGGGCTGTAAGAGCTGCCCAATGCCTGGTTCTCACAAAACTGGGGAAAAATGTTTGTATCACTTTTGGCATGGGCTGTGGGGTCATGTGAACCCTGCCCAACCTGCCCTGAGCAGGCACCTGGCCCAGCTTTACACCCAGCACTGTGGCCACAGTCCTGAGAGCCCAGAGTGTCCCTTAACACAGCCAGGTTCCCCTCTGGGAAATGTAACACACACTTCTGGAAAAGGGCAGGGACTCGTGCCTGTCTGAGTTTCTTGTCTCACTCCCTCTGAAGGGAATAAGGTCAGAACTGCTCCCCCCAGCACTGGGATGTCACCAAGAGCATCCCACTGAGGCCAGCATGGCTCTCACCTGGTAGCTGATGAGGAGAGGGGTGTTGGGGACAGCAGGAACGTGGTCACTGGAGCTGTTCAGGCCAGGGAACGGCGTGCTGGATGAAAACAGCTGCAACACAGAGGGGGGCAGGTGAGGAAAGGCAAACATAGAGATGCACCAACAAAGATCTTTGGACACTGTGATCCCTGGACCATGCAGTTTGCCAGGAGAGAGCTCCTAAGACACTCCACAAGGACAGAGAGCTCCCAAGACACTCCGGGCTGAGGAGATCCTTCGTCTGCTCCCATACAAACAAATTCACCTCGGAATTTCCCGATAGAGAGCAAGGTCAGGCCAGCAGCTCGTGGCATCCAAAGCAATCAGCAGCTCCAGGAGCAGCACTGCTCCAAGTTTACAGCCTGTGCAGAGTGCCAGGCTCAATGACAGACCCATGCTCAGCAGCAGAGAAAGATGGGAAGTTCTTAGGCATAAACACTCCTATTTTTAAATAAAATTTAAGAAAAATAAAAAGAAGAAAAAGAAAGAAAAAACCCACCCTCCATTCCTGGAAGCCTGAGTCAGAATTACCAGAAGGAAGCTGGACAGAAGAACTGTTTTCAGTGCCAGCAAATCTGGAGAGCAGGTGAAACATCCCCACCTACAAATCTAAGCTCAGTTTGGTCTTGGACAGGAGAAAGGCCAGGAGCTGCTGGAAGGGGAGGATGTGTTGTTGAAGCTCCAGCAGCAGGAAGAGAATGCAAGGCTGAGTTTGCATCATAAAAATCCCCAAAGTACAAACCTCTGCTATCCTGACCCAGCTTTGGCACTCAGCATTCCACCATGGGAATTGCAGAGGAAACAAGAGGAACCTTGGCTGTTCAGAGCATCTGAAAACCACCCACACAGGTGAGAATGTGCTGTGAGGGCCAAAGCAGGTGGGAGCAGGAGCTGCAGTGGGAGATGGATTATCCACCTGTACAATTCCTGCCTTTCCCTACCCTTCCTCACCTCCTGGTTTGATTTTCTCCTTCCTCTGTGCTAAGGACATCCAGAGAAGAGGAACACAGACTCATGAGAGCACAGAGATGGAAGCAGGAGAGAGACTGACAATTGCACAATCACAGCCCTGCTCTTACTCCACTTTCTTCCTCTCTGCATTATTCTCCATTTTGTCCCACCTTGCTGTGACTTCCCTGGGAAGGGAATCAGTCCCACGTGGCTGCCAAGCCAACTTCCCTCTGTGTAAATCCCTTCCCTGGGTCCTGAGCTGGGAGAAGGCTGCTTCACATACTGTGAATGAGCAACAAAAAACTGCATCAGCAGCTCACAAATTCCAGTCACAGGCTTCCAAGGCTGGTCTGTTCTTCCCAGCCTTAAAAGCACTGGGAATGTGTGAGATGGATGACAGAAAACACAATGTATGACAGGGACTATTTTTAAAAGGTTATTTCACAACTCCATTACAAGCAAAGCTGTTTTGTCTGCTGCTCCTGCAAATATTTCACAGGGTGGCAGCTCTTCCCTCTCTGCCCATTTCTGAGTGATAAACAGAGCCAACAGATTGGATACAGCTCCTTTCCTTGGGATAACAGCTCTCCACAGGCACATGGAGGCAGTTCTGTGTCCAGCCCTTTCCACTCTGATCCCAAACCACCTCCAGCTTCAGCACTGGGCACCTCAATCCAGGGATTCTCAGAGAGCTAGGAATGTTTATTTTTAAAGAGCACAAAGCACAAGGCTGTTCCTGTACCTGGGATCTACAGGTGGGCTTCCCCCAGGATGCATCCAGTTTGGCTCCTGGGATGTCCCGTGCATCAGAACTGTGAGAGACTGATGTTCCTGCTCTGTCTGGGTCTCTGAGACAAAAGTTCTGGAAAAACTACACTCCTGATAACCCAGCAGCAAGCTGTGGGTCAGAGCTGGCTGCACAGCCACAGCTGAGGGAGGTCCTGGATCACAGGAATCAGGATGTAACGTGACTGATGTTCCACCACTGTAGCTTAGTGACTGCTCTGGCTGCTCAAAAGCCAAAATTCCTAAAATTCTATGGAAAAATACGATGGTGTGGTGATGTGGGGAGGAATATGATAATCTAAACTGCTGATATTTCACACCAATGTGCAGAGGCCAGTAGTGAGTCAATCTGACAGTTCTCTCACTCAGTACCCCAGTACACGGTTCCAGTTCCACGCAAAAATGAAACCAAAATGTCCTGTCCAGGATGCACCTAACTGACACCACCTCAGCAAATCTTACTGTTAAAAAACAGCCCAAAAAAGCAGCAACAAGCACACATAAGATAACATTTAAAATTAGCTGGAGATTCCTTTCCAAAGGAAGTCGTTTATAAATGGAATTCCAAGGAGTTAATTGGCCTTATCTGAGCCCAAGAGCTCAGCAGGACACAAGGGGCGAGGGCAGGATGTGAGGAACAGCATGGGACACAAAGGACAGGGACAAGGAACAGCACAGGGACAAGGACTCTGCTGGAGATCCTGCTGTGCTCACACGAGTCAGTCTCACACAAAACGTTTGTTTCTCCCTTGTTTCCTTCATGCTGGATTTAGAACAGCATTTCCCAGTAAGTTTTTGTTGTGCACTCCACAGACACAGGACTCCAGGATTTTCTAAGCATTGAACGTCTCAACCAGAGTTCACATGTTTGGAAAGAGGCCACCACAGAATCATTTCTGCAAAGATTTGGGATTCTACATAAAAACCCAACAATAATATGAGAACAAGAGCAATGTGGCATGTGGCTCCTCTGTCCTGGGGGATGCATCTGCTCTCCAGCATTTTTAACCATCCAGTTTGCAAGCCTGGGATGTCTGCAGCCATTTCTTGCGTTCCAATAGCTCAGCTCTCTTCCTGCTGCCTCAAACTGCAAGTCCCAACCGGTCCCAGGCTTGCAGACTGATCAAGGAAGCACAGTCAGAGACACTGAGCACAGCAGAACCTCAAAATGTAGCAGTGACTACCCCAGTTGCCTCCTGGGGTAGCCACTTGGGATGTTTTTCCCTCATTCTTCCTAAGGGAGTGACCTCCAATGGAAATGTGAGGCACAAATGGACAGGCACTGCCAAGAGCTGAGACCCAGATCCAGTGGATGTGGATGATGTGGCTCCAACAACCTCCAGAGCCAGTTGGTGCCTGTGGTGCCCATGTCAGTCCCCCAGCTGAGGCAGAGCAGAGAGCAGAAGGCTGGTGAAAATGCCCAAAAATGCCCACAATCAGGTGATGCTGAAGGACTGCAGGGAGCTGCCACACCCCAGAAAACTCTGGGATGGAAAAGCTTGCAGGGACTTGGACTCACAAAGTAAACACAAATGGTGAGTCTGAAGTTGAGACAGTTATTTAGTCATTGTTACTGAACTATTTGCCCTTGTGAACAAACAAAAGGTGCTGCTGCAGAGGGAAATTAATGATCCATGTTCAGGATGGTTTTCCTGGAGTCCATCCCTTCAGCACTCCTGAGCAGCCTGGATCTGCTGAATGTTTCAGGGATAGATCCTCCCCAGGATGCACCTACCTGCCAGGAGAAAGAGCTACTGCCTGCTCTGCACTCTGGAAGAGTGCATGAATCCCTCTGAGAGGGGATTCCCTCCTGCTTCCAGGACACTGAACACCACTTCACCCCTTCCCTCCTCCGGTGGAGCGGGTAACAGCGGAATAACATCCACACCTCAAACTTCACCTCAGACCGGGTTGGTTTCTTAACTCCTTGGTAAAACCACCATGGGGTGAAGCCTGCTGAGAGGATGGGAAAGGAGCAGCCCTACCTCGATCTGGTTCTGCTGTGGCGTGTTCACATCCCATAGTGTTGGCACGTGGTTCAGGCTGTCGGCGGGCAGGAAATCCTTGGGATCCGCGATGTCCGAGAGGGAATCCGCAGGGGACGAGAAGAGGGAGTTGTTGTTGGAGAGCTCATCGAGGTATGAAGAATCCTGGAAGAGAGGCACAGCCATGTTTGGAGAAGGCAGGATGAGACCAGAGAGCTCCTTCCTCACTCAGCCAGCAAGTTCTCACTTCTTGCTGCTCAATGAGCGGCTCCGATACTTTGCGCTCCACAGATCCCAGAAATTAACCTGGCACTGAGGACACGCTCTGTGGTGCTCTTTGAAAATCTGCTTCTTGAAAAAGCAGGAAAAGCCCTGGCCAGGAGTGTGGGTACACAGTCAAGGCTGACTCGGGCTGTGCACATCCCTGCACCATGGACTGGGAGAGAGAGAGGAGCATTCAATGAGGCATCACTCAACCCCACTTTGTGATTGATTAAAAAAGGCTGCTAAGTGGTGTAAAGGCTTCAGCTTGACCCCAAAGGGCTCAAGGATTTCATTCATGTGCAGAGACCCCCAGAGACCCAGCTACACCCAATCACAGCATGGCTATTTCACTGCAATTTCCAACATGGCACTACCCGGAGCCTGTGGGAAACATCCCTCTCCTCCTGGCAGGTTCTGCACACACGAGGCTGCCAGGAGCAGGGGAAGGAGTGCTGGTCACCTGGATTTGAATCTAGGTAAATCCAGGCAGATCTACCAATCCTCTTCCCAAGGGCTGGCCCCAGCCTGAACAAGGAACTTCAACAACAGGGACCAGGAGAGAGCCCTTGCTCTTTTTCTGGGCTGGAATGGTTTGCAATTGTATTATTTGGTGCCAGCCCAGTGATGCTGTTGGTTTGAGCCACACAGACTTTGGCTCAGAAAGAGCCATCAATCCCCTCCCTAACATCAAGCCCTGGTCTGGTTTCCCAATTTCAGGTGGCAAGAACCAAGATAAGCACTTCTTGCTCTGCATTCTTCACTGTGGCACAGACCCTGCCCTTTCCCCAGCTCCATCACCTCAGCCCTCCTCCAACACCAAATTTTTCAAATTTTGTCAAAGCAGAAAAACTTTGCTATAAATTAAGAGCAATGTACTTCTAGCACCAAACTCCAGCTCTCAGGTCTGGCCAGAGATGAGCCTCTGTCCCTGAGAGAAGGGCAAAGGGACCAAAAGGTCTGTCTTGGTGGCCCTAAAGATGCTGCCAACACGGGTGGGTCTGTGGTTCCTCACAGCTGTGTCAGCACAGCCCAGCCAGAGCACCAGGGTAACCCAGCAGGCTGCTGCCAGCTGAGCCAGGGGCTGGTACAGGAGGAATCACTGCTCACTTCCAGTAAAGGGCCAATTTCCCACCACAGGCAGAAAGGCAGCCAAAGACTCTTAAAAGTCACTTAGCCCTGCCTGACATAAACCCACGAGCAGCTGAGCCTGGCCTTGCTCCTCCCAAGGGCTTCAGGCCAAGAGCTGGGTCAGACCCCACTGATTGCTATCAAAAGTTATGGGTTTGTGGTGTTTAAACCTCTGGGACACTTTCCCTTCCCTTTCTTCTCAGGGATGTGTCTTTTGGCCAGTGTGTGCCCTGAAGCCATGAGTGCAGGTGCTGGAAGCACTCCAGCAATGGCAGGTGTGATGTGGGAAGTTTGGATTCCTCAATTACCAACTGGGGAACCTAAAGGCTCAGGGAGCGAGGGCAGCACTTCCTGGGCAACTCCTGCTCCTGATATTTCTGTGGCTATTTTAGGATTACCCAGAAATCAAAGCATCCAGAGACTGAACAGGCACTCAGATTTATCACCTTGGAATTAAGGGATCTCTGGACTCCCCTTCACACTCGAGAAAGAAGAAGAACATTTGGGTGGGTCTGGCCATGGCCAGAGCGAGTGGCCTGTGCAGGAGCCAGATGGTCCCAGATCCCACCCAGTCCCACTGCTGAGACAATTCCAAGCGGGGCTTGTTCACCTGCAAAGGGCACTGACAGGAGCTGGGGAAGGAGGAAACATCTGCACACCCATGTCATGGCAGGGGAGGCTGTGGGGCAGCACAGTGGCCATCAGGGTCCCAACAATAGGCAAGGGCTGGGCTGGAATAGCAACAGGATATGGGAAAGCCTCATGACCCAACCCAAGACATTCCAGCAAATGTCACCCAGCCCCTTGCAACCCCAGGCAAGACTCCAGCCCTACCGCTGGGCTGAATTGGGGAGAGGAAACCAGCCCCAAGGCAGAGGGAGGACAATACTCCTCCTGGAAGTGATGCAGTGATCCCATCCTCTGCCAGCATTACGTGGCATTAGTCACAAACTTCCAGAATCTCTCATTCATCTTAACTAATTGCATTATCTAAAGAGCACTGAAGTTAATCACCTGCCAGCTTCCTTGCCCCAAGAACTTCCACCACCATCACCTCATTTATCAAACCCAGGGTAATTGTTCAACACAAAGGCACACAAGGATAACCACAACCAGTACAAACCATGCCTGGACTAATCACACCACTGGTTTATCTGCTGCAAATGGAAGCAGCTACCTTGGTGACCTCAGGGAAAAGGAAGGATCATCACATCAACCAAAAGCCCATGGTCAGGGTCAGATCAGGTACTGGGGTTTGAAACGTGTAATTTTGACCCTGTTTCAGATGGATTAATCAGAATTTTAAGTTTTTCTCATTAGAAACATGAGGTTCTACAGTAACAGCACTTCTGTTTCAGTGGAAGTTGAATTTCTGTAGATGGAAGTTGTCCTGACAGGCAGGATCTTTATTTCAGATACTTTTCTGCAACTGTTTTTTACACAGATCTTATTCCTGGAATTCAGCATCTCCGTGGTGTCCTCTGGACTGGCCCCAGCAGGTCCAGACCTCTCCTGAGCCCAGGACCCAGAGTTGGAGGCAGAGCTGCAGGTGGATCTCAGAGACCTGCTGCTACTGTGGCACACGGTACTCCTGTCATTATCCCAAAACTGAGATTATCAGACAATTATCTTCCTAGAAAAGATCAGAAAAAAATCAGGGTACCCCAGCCCAGACACTTGATCTTTCTCCAAGCCCCTGGGAGCAGCTCAGCTCCCTCAGTCAAAACAAAGTGTTAAAAATAATGAAAGAACAGGTGAAGTCTAAATACAGACAGAACAAGCATCCTAAAAATATTTTTTTTTCCATCAAGCCATCAATAGAAATGGTTTGTTTTCTCACAATCCAGACACTGAGGAAACAGTGTCTGCAGAGCAGCTCTGGATGACTGCTCTGCAGAGCACCCAAGTGAAGAAGGGGTTTGATTAAAAACCCAAAACCATATCTATATACCCAAATACACACCCACAACCACAGCCACACTGCCAGCCAAGAGAGATTTAGCACCTCAAAAGTCACAGATTAAGCAAATTATTATTCAGGAGTGACCGAATAAGCAGCTGCAGATGATCCCTATAAAATCTTTTAGCTGCCAATCCCCAAAGTCTGTCTAAATTTGGGGCAATAAACTGGCAGTGTGGAGGGTTTAGCTCTGGCTGGCTGGTGCTCTCCTCGCTTCCTGCACCCTGCATCAACTTTGGAAATAAAACCCCTCAAAGCCATCACACCTACACAAACACACAGATCAATCCTCAGACAGCTCCTTCCCTCCAAATTCTACACTCACAGACCGAATTCTGACTGACAGAACAGCGTCCAGGAATGCAGGTTCCAGCAAAACACAAATCACATCTTTGGGACAAAAAAAAAATTAAAAAAAAAAAAAAAAAAAAAAAAAAAAAAAATCTATTCCCCGTACCAAATGTGGAGAGAGGCGTCACTCCCAAAACTCTGCAGCCACTGCACAACTCTCGGGGAGCAACTGCCCCGGTGACCAAAAACGCACGAGGAATTCCACGGAGGAGCAGGAAAAACCCAGGAAAAATGAGGCTTTACCTTGTAGAGAGACGGGAACTTCAGCCAGAACTGCATTTGGGACATTTTAGAGCAGCATTCGGGGGGCTGTCGGAGCGGGAGGCAGCAGCAGGGGGAGGGTGCTGAGCGCAAAGTGGAGAAAGGTCCATTCACAGCCAGGGCTCATCGGGGGGCTTTAAAAGCCAACATTCAGCAGGCAGAGCAGGGAAAATGGAGACTCGGGGCCCGGCAGAGCCGTCCTGTGCCCGGAGATTTGCATAGAGTGTTTAGTCACGACGAGAGGGCTCTTACTTCCTCTAAGTCCAGGGCTGACTTTCAGGAAATGATGCCTGCTTGGTAAGTCAGTGAAATTACTGGCAGTGCGAGGAGAATTACTGTACGTGGTGTAATCCAACCACAGAGCACAGTAAACAGCGCCGGGCTCTGCAGAGCCAGAGGGCTCCGGGGCTCCCTCTGCTTCCCTCCCCAAAGCCAGACTTTGTCCCCCTGGCTGTTCTGGGCTGGGGGTCCTGCCCTCCTGCCCCCCCACCCTCCACGATTTTAGGGCTCAGGTGAAGTGGTGGAAGTGACAAAGCTCATGAGGAGTAGTCTCACGTTGGTGTCCCCCCAAGAGCCATGTGCTCTCTTTGTTTTTGGTGTCTGCCCCACCCCAAATTGTGCCTTTTAGAAATCCAAAGGAGTGGCCCATTCTTTTCCCTTTCCTCCCTGGATCGCTATTATTTCCCAGGGACCGTTGCCTTCTCTTTTCAAGGCTGTCCCTTTTAATTTAAACAGTTTTGGTAACAGAAATAAGCAAAAATTTCTAGTGGGGAAGAGAAAAATGCACAAAAAGGGACAACTGAAAAGGGATATAAACTTAATGAAGGTCTCCTCCAACGGCTCTGCAGATTAAAGCAATGATCCAAACAATCCCCCACCCTCCGGAAAATCCCTGGGAACTGCCATGTTTGCTTTGGGTGCAAAAGGCTCCTGTTTACTTTTCCCTGGAAGGGCTGGTGGCAGCCCCAGATCAGGGCTCTGCCCGCAGGGTCAGTTCCAGTTTGCCCAGCAAACCCAGCAGTGCACGTGCTGGGAATGGGGAGGGAGAGGAGCCCTGAGTGCTCCCAGTTTCTCTATCCCTGCTCCCAGTTTCTCCATCCCTGCTCCCAGTTTCTCTATCCCTGCTCCCAGTTTCTCCATCCCTGCTCCCAGTCTCTCCATCCCTGCTCCCAGTTTCTCTATCCCTGCTCCCAGTTTCTCC